GAATATTTTAGCTCTATTCTTTTTTAATTTCTCTTTGGATTAGCAACAAAAGCAGCAAGACTGTTAGACTCCCTACATTATTGCGTGATTAGCGATCTCAAAGGACATTGGATCTTTTTCGTTCTATGTCTCATTCCATTGTAGCTTTAGGATATTCATTATCTTGTATCTTTGTTATCATTTAATAATAAATTAGTTGTTTGATTTAAAAAAATATATATAGAGATAAAGGGATAAGATAAATTTTGAAACCAAGTTGAACGAGAATATTAAATTGACAAACAATTTATGGATATAGGGATCGAGATTCGAGAGTGCACGCATCAGGTCAACTTCATTTTTTGGCTAAAAAGTGAATTAAATAATCCTTTTTTTACTATTCCATATTAAATATTTGTCTCAATCCCTAGATAATAAAAAGTCATATTTCCTAAGCTTAGTTCCATTTGTATATGAATTAATTTTAATCATTACTTAAGAATTATAAGTGAAAAAGTAAATTCACACATTCTATTTTCAAGCAAATTTAAGATGAGTAAATTCGGAGTAAAACATAGACAAAATGTAAAAATAGGAGTATCATATTTTGAATAGGAGTAATTTTAGTGTTTGCACAAATATACTCCTATCCAAATCCCAAGCCCCAAGCCCCAACCACTTTCATTAATAATTTAAATAATAAAAGAAACAACATTAATTAATTTATACTACCTCCGTCCCCCCTAAGTTTGGGACAAGAGAAGGTGTGTCTATTAATAAAAGTGAGTTTATGTGGCTGATATTGAATTGATAAAGTAAGAATAAAGTAGGAATGATTTAGAACCACACAAATTTTACCAAATAAGGTATAGGACAATCTTAGTGGGACGGAACGAAAAGGTAAAATGAGACAATCATAGCGGGACGGATGGAGTAATAAAATTGTAAATAAATTAAAAACATGAAGTTATTAAATAAAATTAAATAAAATTAATAAAAATAAAATAATGAAAATAACATTAGTAGAAAAAAATTATGAAAAAAAATTAAATAAAAAATATATAAATAAAATAGAAAATGAAAAAAATATAAATAAAAATATGCAGGCCTCTGTCACCGTCTCAACAATCTCCCAGCACCACCAGCTCCGACCAACAAAAAAAATGCCAACATTTTTCAAAAATGCCACCTTGATGGTGGTTTTTGAGAAAATTTGGCATTTTCAAAGAGTAAAAATGTCATCTCTATGACATTTTCAAAGAAAAATGGTAGTTTTTATATAAAATGACATTTTTTCTCCGATCGGAGGTGGCATTGTTGGGTGGTGGCCGAGGATGCAGAAAAGGCCTCCATAAGTTTTTTATATTTTTTTAATGTGTTTTATATATTTATTATTCATTTAATAAGTTTTTTATTTTTTAAAAAAATTAATTCTTTTGATTTTTTTTATTTTAATACCCGAGTAATTTTTAAAAAGAATTTAGATTTTTTATATATTTTAATAAGATCAAATAAGTCCTATTTTAGAATTAATTAGGTAAGAATAGTAAGGATAAAAAATTAATATTTACTCATTGAAGAAAGTTTTAAGTTTTACTCCTATTTGGGCAATAATGTTTATGCTTACTCGTGTATCGGACTATTTGTAATTTAAGATCTAGCTAATTGCTGAAACTAAATTGATTGTTAACATTAATTAGTACAAAATATTAAATCACTGATTTCATTGGTTGGACACTTGGACTAACATCAAATCATCAATCCCCTCAATCTAGACTGACATGTTCCTCTATCATATCCTAATTTGGTATTCGTTTTAATATTCTCCTGGTCAACGTTTAATTTTTTTTGTTCTCCCTCCCAATTTGATGGTCTCATTTTTTTGGACACAAATTTTAATAAAGTGATTAAAAAAATAAAAGTTGTGGTTGAGATTTGAGTAGAAAAAGGTGGAATGATGTGAACTACATATTTCTTTCCAAAAGGGAAACGGGCCATCATTTTGGGACATCCCAAAAAGGAAATACAAGACCATCATTTTGGGACGGAGGGAGTACATTTTTAGAGGCCGTTTGACAACACTGTTTTTCGGCTTATCATACTTTTTAGCCAACTTTTTCATCAAACACGTAATTTTTGTTTCCGCGCGCTAAGTTGTGTAATAAGCAGAAAAAGTAAGGTTATAGTTACTTTTCTGGATGTATTGGATCAAGTTATTGTAGATGACCATTTTAGCTATTTTTACACATAATTTTTTCTTTATTTTATCAATAAAATATATTTTAAAAATTATTTTTTCTTAAATCAGCAGAATCAGCCAATGCAGCCACTTTAGACAGAACTTCATAAATTTGAGCAGCCAAAACAGCCATTTTTCATACCACCAAATGGACTCTTATTCTCCTTTCAGATTTTATCATGAAAAGATAATTGGGAAAATGGAAACTAATAATCCAACCTTTTAGTGGTCTTCTTATAATAGTCTCACCTTTTGATTATTCATGAATAATCCAACCTTTGCACCTCATCTTCATTCACTGGTCCCTGACCGGTTGATGACCTGCTATTCCAAGTTATTTTCTTATCTTTGTAAACTATTATACCATAAATCTCACCTTTCACAAAGATAATATATATTATGCAAAGATAAGAAAATAACTTGGAATAACAGGTCATCAACCGGTCAGGGACCAGTGAATGAAGATGAGGTGCAAAGGTTGGATTATTCATGAATAATCAAAAGGTGGGACTATTGTAAGAAGACCGCTAAAAGGTTGGATTATTAATTTCCATTTTCCCAAGATAATTTTGCTTACAAGCCATGCACTGTTTAAAACGTCATTACCCAACACTTCCAAAGTACGCAGTATGTTTTTTTTTCTCAAAGATTTAATTACCCTTACTAAAGCAATAAAATAATAAAATTTCCCACAATAGGAATGGAAGAATACTATTTAGGGAAGAAAGCAGTGCACTCTTATTAGACGAATCACGCTATGTTTTAAAAACTTAAACGACATTGGCGTATCCGATTTAAAAAATTTCCTATCTGTATCTTTCGGATAATCATTTTTAAAAAGTTAAATGACAATGGCGTATCCTATTTAAAACTTTCCTATCTGTATCTTTCGGATAATTATTTTATCTTCTTTATTTAAACCAAATTTTAATGACATTGGCGTGCATACAGGTTCCAGCGAATCAACCATATATGTCATTAGTGATGTTGGGTAACATCCTAAAGTGATAAGTCATTCTCAAGTGAAAAATACTACGTAATTTGAATGTGTATTAATATTCCGTCTGGAGATTATCTTGTAAAATATGTTTACGACAGCATATTTTAAATAGAAAAAGAATTATAAGGATATGATTCTCTTAATTAAGAGTAACGTAGCTTGTGTGTGTACTGTGTACATCATATTGTCCGTAGTATTTAATAAAAGTAATTTCCGATTAACTAGACTACATTTAAAATTATTCCAAATCAAATTTCATATAGGTGTAATAACTGACTGAAAAATAAAGTCTCTTACGGAAAAATTTAAAGTTATTAGCATATATTTCAATGATATTATGTTCACAGGTTGTTTAAATTACTAAAAAACACGGGAATTTGGCGCGTAATAGAATAATTATTGTAATTAAGAACATGACAACTTAATATTTCATCAGGTCAACATCATTTTTGAATAAAAAATGAACTAAATGATTTATTTTTTAATATTTCATATTAGCAATTAGTTTCAATCATAGAATAATAAAAATTCCAAACCTAATTCCGTTTTCTATGATAAATTAATATTAACCATTATGTAAGTATTAGGAGTGGAAAACTGGATTCATGGATTCTCCCTTTGAACAAGTTTAAGATTTAGGGCGCATTTGGTGGGCATGTTTTTCGGTTTATCGGGGTTATCATCTAACTTTTTCACCAAACACATAAGTTTTGATTTCGTGCTCTGAGTTATGTAATAGTAAAAAAAACTAAGATTGAAGTTACTTTTTTGATTGTTTTGGCTGAAGTTACTATAGAGAATCAATTATTTTAGCTATTTTCATAACTTTATTTATTAATTTTATTAATAAAATATATTTTAAATATAATAGAAAGCCAATCTAGCCATTTCAGTCTAAACTTCATAAGTTTCAACAGAATCAGTCGATTCATCTGATTTTGATATTCAACGTTTAATTTCTTTTTACTTTTTTACTTTATTTTGAATATTTTATCATGAAGAGATAATTTATTGTTGATATCTCACACCGATAAATTATGAATCAATAAAGTGATATATTAAAGTCCTATCCCAGTCATCATATCAAGTTGACCTTTTAGGATGGAACGTTGAGTCTTAACATTGTATCAGAGTTAGGGTTTCTATAAAAAAGATGACGTGATTATAAAAATGATAATGACAAACCGTCAAAAAAATAAACGACGGCGCGATCCCGATGACATGCTAGTCGTGAGCTGCATTAAAAAGTAATATTACTTCCGTCCTTTATCCTGACGACGTAGTAATTTTGATTAATATACTCCGTACTACATATATTGTTGTGAATGTATAATCAAGATATTTTTTTGATATCGTTTGCAATAAATATATGTAATAACATTTTTAATATTGTAAACGGTGATGGGGTATCACTTATAATATATAATATATCATTGCTCAAATTTTAAAGTGATTAAACATGGGTAAGTTTTAAAGATGATGGGGTATCACTTATAAATAATTATCTCTCAAATATAATAATTAAAGTTTGATTCAAAAATTCAAAACGTGAATTTAATTATGGATAATATGGTGTATATAATTTTTACTATTCTTTTAATTTGTGTTAGGATGCTAGGCTCAAATTAAATGAGAGGAAGGATATTTATAATTCTGCCTTTTTTGGCGATGGGGCTCAATTATACACAGGAAACACAACTCATATATGCATATAGTTATGATTCAAATGATTGGACTTTATCGAAAAAAAAGATTCTGAAAAAGGAGAAGAACATGGATTCTATAATTATGAATGTATTCAAGCTGATTTAGGTTACAACAAGAACATGGTTCTAATTTAAATAAAACCTAAAAGTTGACAAATGGTATTAGTTATACAACAACACCATGAACCTATTTTAATTTCTAGACCTAGTCCACTAGTGAGTCTGATCTAGCTTATTAATAATAATTCAACACATTGCATGGAATCAGAGAAGCTAAGGAAATTAGATAATCCATATCAATGAAGGTTTATGCTCCATAAACCTTTTCCATCTGATTCAGGAAGAAGCATCGAAAAGTCTCTTCCTGGAAGCAAACTTTCCAGGATTCTTCATGCATGACTTGAGGAAAACCTCCACCGCTTCAAGACCATCTGACTCTAAGAACTCAAGCCCCGGCGGTAGCGGTTCGCCGTTGACCGGCTGCCCCTCTCTAGGTTTCTCCGGCGCCGGAGGGCAATCTGCGATGATCGGGATTTTGTGTTTCGCCGACTTCGGCGTTTGGTACTCCTCGGCCATGGACTTTTCATCAGCCACCTTATTATCTTTTTCTTGGTCCACTCCATTCATGTTGAATTCGTTTGTCGGGTCAAAGAGATGATTCTCAGACATAGCTAGGGTTTGTTTGGATGAAGATAAAAGAAGATTTACAGGGAGAGATGAAAGGAGAGAATAGAATAATGGATCCTCTGGCCCTTGGAATCTATAGGCTATCCCGGATTTATATATAATCCTCACACCAGCTTAAACAATGTAGGAGAAAATTTGACACGTGCATTCACGTGAATATAAAAGGAAATAATTAAAATAGACCTAATCCGTTAGAGTGCCTTAAGCATAGTAGTAGTATTAGGACTATACTTTCTAATATATACTTGAAAGAATGATAAAAATATTAGTTGTGGGCTTTACATGGACAGAAAGTGACCATTTAAAATTGATTGGGCTGAGTTTCCCTGGTCTAATTCAAGTGCTTTCCGTCCCCTGCCCTGGCTGGCATCCCAGCATCGAGCTCGGCCCTAGCAGAATCATTATTAGAGGCAAAATACAAAAGCTGGTCAACCTCCTCCCTCCTAGCCACCGTACGACGTCACTTCTATTTGAACACAAAGCCCAACACTGGTCGTGCAACCACCAGCAACGCCGCCACCAGAAAGCGCGAGAGAAAACCTACATCCCCTCCAACGAGCTGTTACTCGAAATACACAAAGATAATCCAAACCCTACTTCATCCAACCTTCATATATTACAAAATCCTCCGCTCAGAAGTACCACCGAAAACTCCAGTGGTACACCAGAGTCCAGTTGTGAGATCAAACGAGAAGATACAAAACATAAGCAGATTAGAGAGAGAAGTGAAGAACAAGAAGAAAACATATGGTGAGGGGAGCTAGGGGAGGGTTACTGGGGGCAGGTCAGGGGCGGGACATGGAGAGGGACATGGGCAGGGTCTGGGGTGCTGGGGCATGGGGGATGGTGAGGGGGAGGGGTAGATGGCACTCATGGCAGCGGGTGGGATGTTGGCGGTAGATGGCACTGCAGCGCATGGGATGGTGGCAATAGATGGCACTGCAGCGCGTGGGATGGTGGCAGTAGATGGCACTGCAGGCTCTGCAGCGGGTGGGATGGTGGCGGTAGATGCATTGCAGCGGGTGGGATGGTGGCGGTAGATGCATTGCAGCGGCTGGGATGATGGCGGTAGATGTCACTTTCACGGGAAAAAGTAGCCGACGAACAGTGACAGATAAACGGCACAATGACACGTTTGAAGGCGGAAGTGACATATAAAAGTGAGCTGAAAACCGGTAGTAACATTCAAAAGTGACATAATATCAGTAACATAAAAATCTAACAGTGACATAAAAATATGCAGTCATTGTGTTTTCCAAATGTATGACCTTCTTGGTCACATTTTGCCATTTTGTAAAAGTGATCACATTTTCGGAAATTGACTTTAAATTCATAATATTCAAGTAAAAAGCCCTATATACTTCGCCCTTCTTATTGCTTTTTTATTTAGGTTTACTATGAAAATCATTGTAATGTGGAACCGTTCGTCTTATTATAGAGGGGTGAATGAGTCAACCACAATGATAAATATAAAATGTTGTTATCAGTTAGCGTTATAGTTTTAGGCGTAGTTTTCTGATTTAGTTTGATTTGATGAGGTGAACTTACACATTGCACCGGAGAGATAGATTAGTATTGGATTCGGATGCACATAAAGAGTTACCACATTATTGCATTGCTTTTGCATGCTTTTGCTTACATGAATGATCAACCCCTTGACCATTGCAACCTTGAATCTCCATGAGGTGGTTTTGCACATGTTTGAGCTTTGGACTATGATACTTGAATGTGAAAAATTTGTTCTCCCTATATAATTAATACTACAATCTAAATCGATATTATTAATTAAACTTGACATATTATATATGACCACAATAAATAAAGCATATCTGGATTTTTTAAAGTAAGAATAGGACACACAATTTTTGATAAAAAATAAGTGTAACTATCAAAGGAAAAATAAATAGGTGAAAATATGGTACAACATATCCATATTTCATTATGATATCTTTAAGTTACTTTAAATAGGCCGGTACGGCGATACAGGCTTAACTCCGAACTAGCTCGATATACCAAAACTTCTATATACCAAAGTCTTGATTTATATCCTTACCTTTATTACCACTTTCATACATCGAAACACGATACTAAAACTTTGGTATAAAGTGGCGGCGCGTAAAAAAAAGTTCATTACTCTAAAGGAAAGTGAAAAACTTTTTAGGCCGGCCACTCAAAAAGGGAAGGTTGGTAATGTGTGGAGATAGAGGGAATATATGAGACTAGAAGTGAGAAGGTAAACCTCATGTCTAAATGATTCTTCGAAAGCGAGTTAGATTCAATTTTATATGGTATCAAGGTGTAGTTGAACTTTGATTGCTTTCTTGTTTATCCCCACAATATGGTATATTTAAAAGTCTGTACACTACAAAAAATAAGAGATTGACAAAGATTTTTGGCACAGATTCGTTAATATTCATAGAAGATTAGGCATGGATATGCCAAATCCGTGTGATATTGTTGTAATTTACATTTGTATGTTTGCACTTTTAATTAGTTTTTGTTGTTTGTTGTTATGGAAATTACACACTTTTGGTGTAATATTCTTTTGTTAGATATTTGTAATTTGTTTAAATTAAGATTATTTTGATCATAAAACAAGTTAAAGTCATCCAAAGGATCAAAGAATGGATTTTAAAGATAAAAGAATGTGCAAAGGAACAAGCTAAGACAATTTGAAGATTTGAATATGCAGTACCTATCAAGGTACTTGCTTGATTTAGAGTGTCTAAATCAAATTCGTGGAAACATATGATTGTGGCTGATCGAATATTTTGAAAAGATTGGTCTCATACCCGATCGGGTAGACCCGGCTGGATATTTTACAGCTTTCAGGAACCTACTTCTGGTACCCGATCAGCTACCCTATATACCCGGCTGGATACATGATCTTGTCACCTCCACATTCATTTCTTGACTCGTTTTGACTCTAAAAACGCCCTGTGGGTCCTTAACTCTTCTAACATCCCTAAAAATGCCCAAATATTCTCAATTTAATCTTTAATGCCGGTGTCAGGTTCAAATTCCTGATTTTCTCTTCCAAAAAACAACAAATGCAAACTAAATCCGGTAAACCGTGACTTGAGCTAATTAAATGTTTTGTGACTCATTTAGATTAGGAAAAGTGGCAAAAATCAATCCCAACAAGGATCAAATGCGTGTTAAAATATGAACTTATCAGTACACAACAACTTTAATGCCGTCACCGTGCGAAAAACATGTTGGCACAAGTTATCTGACACCAAATCATCAGTCAATCTGTGCCAAGTGCATACCAATCCCTTATTTTCTTTGTAGTGGTATTGCAATAGTACACACTTTAATGTGTAGTAAAAAGTCATTTTACACATTCCAAGCGTACCTTCTTGCGTTATTTGATTTTCTTGATCAATAATGGTAAACTTATGATAATAACTTTTAGGAAAAATTGAAAATAATAATCCCAACTATTGCTGGTGCGCTAACAGTAATCCCAACTATTGATTACTTTTGTATAATCCCAACTATATGGACCCTCCGCCAATAATGGTCCATGACCGGATATTACCTGTTATAACATGTGAATTTTAAATAGAAATTGAGAGTAAAAATTAAAAGTTGAGATTATTTATAGGCATTATCTGCTATATCTCTTGTCATCCACGTTAAAAACTATTGAAATTTATTTATGGCGGTCACGCCAGACCATTATTGGCGGAAGGTCCCTAAAGTTGGGATTATTCTGGAATAATCGATAGTTGGGATTATTATGAGCGGACCGCCAATAGTTGAGATTATTACCATCAATTTTTCCTAATTTTTATTAATATAATTTTGTGAAAGAATAAGTTTTGTATAGAGTATTGTTTTGAAAGTCTTAAAAAACATACTTTTCATATTATAAATGATTTTGATATGCATGCCTTATTGATTCTTGATGTTTGAAACAAATATATATAGGGTTAATTATCAAAATAGGACTAAAAGTCACTCACTTTGCATAAATAGGACCAAAAAATAAACTATGGGGCCGTTTGGAAACAACTGGACCAGCTGTTTGGGCTGAAAAGCCTGAAAAGACAGAATGTAATGAAGTGAAAGTGTTTAGTAATATGTCGGCTGAAATGGCTGATTGAAGGTAAAATTACCATAAAGGGTATAATTGTTATACTTCGAATCTGCTAGTGCTCTCCTTTGTAATTGCAATAATCCTTCCTCATGAAAGCTCAACATCCGATGTATGGAATTTCTCATGTGAAACTGCCCCCAAATTATATTATGCATTTGAAATCCATCAAGAGATCGAGCCTGCTCAATAGTTTTGGTTGTCAGAAGAGAACTGCCAAAATCACACCTCATATATATCTCAAATTACACCTCTATAGTCTTCGATCGACTATGGCACAGTCATGGAAGAGCTTAAAATGAAAGGGTAAGGAAGAACAGAGCACCTGCGATGCTTTAGGCGTAGCGATGTATTAGGCTTAAAATGAAAGGGTAAGGAAGTATTTTAGATGGGCAATGGTACATTAAGAAATTCCAGCTAAAAAGTAAGAGATGTGTTGCTTTTTTGGCTGATCGGAAAAAAACAGCCCAAACAGCCCATTTGGCTTGTGTTTGGCTACTTTTTTGTATTTTCAGGCTTTTTAGCCTATTTTTAGGCCACCAATTACTCTTGGTAATTGGTGAAGAACTGGCGGCAGTTCTAATTTATGAATTGTATATAGAGACTCAACACCTTTGGTTTGATTGTTAATATGTTAAATTATTATGCAATGACTTTCCGAATTGGCCTCTGATTCTATTCATCACGGGGAGTATTACTTAATTTGCTTTTAATTAAAGAATTGCATTGCAAAACCAAATAGGCCAGCCGGCCTGTCAGGGACCTGTGGCTTTGCCTGTTAAAGGTCTGACCTGTTTAGTAATCAAACTAGGCTTGGTTTCATGCCTGTCCCAAGCCAGGATAAAGGAGGAGGGTGCTGTGGTAGGCGCGTGACGGCCAATAGTATTACTGTTGGCCGTCATGTGATGTGACTAGGTAATACTGTTGGCCGTCACGCGCCTACCACAACACCCTCC